GGCGAGGATGCCGGTGTTCTTGGGATCCTTGGAGACAAAGTTGACCTGGTAGCCGGATCTGAGATAGATCAGTATATGAAGGATGTGTTGCGGAGGAAATAGACGTACCCGCTGTCAGCGGAGAGACCGTCAATGGTGTAGGAGCCGTCGCTGGTCTTGACGTTCTCGGCGACCAGCTTGTTGATGGGAGGGTAAGAGTTCATCTTGACGAGGTAGATGTCGAAGGAGGAGGGGTCGGAGCTATCCTTATCAGTATGCGACGCATGGTAACAGTGGCCAGAGTTGAGTACCTGACAGAGCTCCATTCGACCTTGGTCTTCTCGCTGAGGTCAACATCCTGGTCCTTCTGGGGAGAGGTGATGGACAAAGCGGCGGCAGAGCCGACCAAGGCAGTGAGAGTCAGAGCGAAACGCATGTTGATAGCGAGTGATTGGAATGTAAAAGTCTATCCGAATGTATTAAAATTAAATATAGCTGTGGAAGTCAGGCAAACGAGTGACTGGTAGTGAAGTGATGAATGAAACAGAGAGCGCTGAGGACACAAGGGAATTGATATTTTATATCTAGCATCGAGTCTTACTGCCAAATTTATAAATAGCAGAGACACCCCATATTATCTGGCCATGTCTTACTCTTGCAGAGGCCTATCACAGCATCAGGAACCAAGGGTGAGTCAACTGTGAACCACTCCTCCAATCGGTCAGGTATCCATCCGCTGTGATAGTTGAGATGCAATTGATGGATCTGATCGAAATCAACCAGATCAATAATGCGAGACTATTCTCAGAACGTTTAATTTGTATACACAGTAGCCTTACTCAGATTAATGCAATGAGCTACTATTCCAGAAGCCGGCTCATGCACTCCAGGACCTCCATCAGACCCTGATTGTATCCACAGGGCCAAGATCCTTGCTTGACGCCCCTCGGCCCCTTCAGTCTCCTTCAATTGCATCATAATCGCCAGCAATCAAAACTCTTGCGCGCACAAAACCCTCCCCTGTTGTCGATAGACAAATTTCCGAACCTTCGCTGCCAAGTAACAGCAGAGCTGTAGCAAAGGGTCGGGCCATTGCGCCTGACCTCGCCAATCAAGAGCAATGCAACAAAACATGTCTTACGGGTGACTACTCTGCTATCAACAAGGCAGTCAATGCTCCACAGTATCCTGCGCCCTGTTGTGTCCACCTGGATCCTGATTGAAGGATTCGCCTCCTGTAAAGTTCCAGCACGAATTACCAGATTTTGTGTACTGCGTACTAGGGCTCAAGGAACTGTGGGATTGGCGTAATCATGGTGCAATATTCAATTTACTTGGTTTTACCGAGCATAGACACCGAGACAAGGCCAATGATAAACTGTCTCCCGCTCAGTTTTTGAGCTGCCAAGAGTCGGCTATTGCCCGACCCAGACTTTGCTGTTGCAGAGATTTCTTCGCCAATACGCAGTACAGAGTATTGTACCTTACCAAGTTCAGAATACTTACCTTACGGATTACTCTGTACCGTTTCCGGTTTGTAATCATAGTCCTAAGATAACAGGAAGCACTTTCATCATGCTTACGCACAGTAAAAATCTGTTGGGCCACGACTACTCAGTAGTATCATTGGGCTATTGAAGCCTATTACTCCATAGTGACTAATGGTTTATGATTCTTACTTGAGAAACCTCTTTAGCAGTGGGGTGGAAAAAAGAAAACCATGCACTCAACGTGATCTTCTAATTATGGAGACGATCTTCTGGTTTCCGAATCGAAGCCCCTTTAGACCCAAGGGCACATCAAGTGGCTCTGTACTATTATTGGGTGGTCCGGATTGATGTGCTGTTCGGTGCTCTCCGAACCTGAACCTCCAGGTGCATCCGCAGTTCTTCGGGCCATCCGTGTGGCAACTGCTCATGGCGATTTTTGGCCATTTTCTGTGCTGATCCGTTCGGCTTATTCCGCCTTCCAGACAATAGTCATCTGCTTGCGGCCGAGATCAAACCTCGGAGTACGGAGTAGACTCGGCAGCGTACTTGCTCGGAACTGATACCGAGTAGCTGTACAAACCACTAGAGCAGGCTTTTTACATACATGATAAGTCACAGTGGTGATACTGCAGAACTGAGCGATCCTCCGAGATGCTAGTTGATACACATGTAGAGTTGCTGCCGGATTGAGAACTATTAAGCATGGCCAAACCTGTCATAGAATTGCGGAACAAGCATTCTAGAATTGACTATGATTTGATGCCATATTCAATGCTCACCCTTACCGACCGGCCAGTTGAACTGGATGTCTCAGTATAGTATTAAATTATTCTTGTTCTAGCTGACGTAGAGATAAACGAAATAAGGAATCAAGATATTACACCTTACCCCAGAAAGCAAATTGTGACAATTCAGCAGTGTTCTGGTACTAAGGCTAATGGGGATAAATATATACAGATGCATCGTCCAGGATTCCCTCTACGCATCCTGAAAATTTTTGGATCCATGACCCCGCGAGAGGACATTAACATGATAGATTAAATGCCTATACTGGTAACTGTGTCTCTATATAATAGATGATGAAATTCTTCGTTGTATCTGATGCAATTGAAGGTATCCGAGACGGGTGAGATTTTGAAGGAAATGCTTATTTGTGCCTATCTCGGAACCGATTGACGGGCTTGCTGCCTACTGTTGCCTGCTGTCAGCGCAACATTAATATTGTCAATAAGCGACACTCTTGAGCAATAAAAGTCCATAATTCAGATCCCTGTTTTTTTGATAACAGCAATCAAGAATCAAACATGTCTTCCTCCATCCCTCCACTCCCTGCCAACTACCGTCTCCATGACGGCTACCCCGCAGTCGCTGATTATCTCCACCTCCGCGCCGCTTCAGGCCTCACCCCCAAGACCAAGGCACAGGCGACTCCCGTGCCTCAGGGCAGCTGGTACGGCTGCTACGTGACATTCGAAGATGAATCATCAGGAACATCGACTCCCGTGGCGATGGGCCGCATTATCGGCGATGGCGGCTGGTATTTCCATATCGCCGACATGGCAGTCCTGCCTGATCATCAGCGGAAAGGTTTGGGAGACATCATTCTCAAGACGCTTCTGGCGAAGATTCGCAGTGAAGCACCGGAGGGGAAGCCGTATGTGAATCTGCTTGCTGATGCACCTGGGAGGAGGCTGTATGCGAAGAATGGGTTTGTGGAGTCGGCGCCGAAGGAGCTCGGGATGATGATGGTTATGGAGAGGGGCGAACCGTCGAAGTGATTGAGAGGTCTTGATATGAGTATGCCTATGTATGAGAATCGCGATGTTGCTAGTCCCTAAAGGCCTTTCGATGATTCCGTCTCAAGCATCAAGTTCCGCCTGTGGTGGCAATATCGCTATTCTCGTATGTGCGGGTCTGAATGTGCTCTGCTTCAATTCGTTAGATTAAAGGCAATATGGAACGTCAGGACTAAGCCGATAGATACTTATTCTCTATGAAGGTCTAGGAAAATATGGATGGATTGCTGTCAAACTGGCCAGTGATGGATAGATACGAGATCCACAATCGATATTGCCAACGCAAAAGGCAGTAACAAGCCACTGGCATGGATATGACCAATTAAGTCGCTCGAGTCTGACTCAATGCTTCGACGATGATCTATATAAGTTCAAAGCAGTACCATCCGGATAAAAACCAATGCTCGCCACCCTTGTTCAGTTTCTGTAAATGGCCATTCAATTTGCTTGTTTGATCTCCTGCACAGCATCATGGGCCATTCTGTCATCTCTCCTGCCATCTTCTACTGGGGCACTCCGGTCGTCCTTGTGACAACAGTCAACGAAGATGGAACACCGAACATCGCGCCTATATCGTCAGCCTGGTGGTTGGGGAATCGTGCCGTCATAGGACTGGGCCGGAGTTCACAGACAACCGCCAACATCATCCGCACTCGACAGTGTGTGCTCAACCTTCCGAGTGATGACATGGTCCAATGCGTCAATGCTCTGGCCCGAACAACAGGCACCAAGAACGTGCCGGCAGGCAAGGTCCAGCGAGGCTATCGGTATGAGAAGGACAAGTTTGGCATCGCGGGATTGACTCCAGCATCTTCGGATCTCGTACAGCCTCCGCGGATCCAGGAGTGTCCCGTTCAAATGGAAGCTGAGTTTGCCGATATCCATGAGCTTTTTAAAGACGGACCGGTGGAGTTGAACGGGTGCCTCATGGCGATTGAGGTTAAGGTCGTAAAGACCCATGTTTTGGATGAGCTGCGACTTCCTGGGTATGCGAACAGGATCGATCCTGACAAATGGAAACCGATGATAATGTCATTTCAGAATCTTTATGGGTTGAAGGATGGAAAGCTGGCTGAATCGACACTTGCAAAGATTGACGAGGAGAGTTACCGTGTATAAATCTAGAACATGTGAATATTGCGATTTCTGGTTGCCTGCCTTACAAGCGCCCTTAATGCTTCCAGCGACATTGATGCTGGACAGATCTTTCCCGCCTAACAGACCTCTATAAAGACGGTTCTCTATATCCACCCCTTGCGGTTGTTGGACGTAGCACAGCGCCTGGTTCCTTTATCGTATTCTGATGGATGAACAACCGGACCCAGCCTGAGTATTGTCCTGAGATGCGACATATGCCCACCCGCAGTTCAGTAAACAAGCAGGGTAAACTCGCCTGTATCGAGCTGCAATTCACACAAAACGCACGTCCAACAGATCGAACGATCTGTCGGCAAACATATACACCTATAGCCCCTGGAATATGCGATACTCACAGCGGCCAATCGCGCCATCCATGAGCCCCCGGAACGTAACACTAAAATTTGGTTTGGTGGCTCCAGGATTTCCTCCCAACAATCAATAGAGACTATTTCGAGTCCTAGATTGGTGAAAGTTGAACCATGCACACAGTTATTACCCTCCAGTCCTCGAACCTCAAGCCGCGGGTCCGCTAAGCCTCGCAATATATCTAGATCAGCAACCCATTCTCCCTCGTCATTCATGGCTACTTTTGTCTCTAGTAGTAGGCCTCCATCTCACGATAACTGGAGGATTCAAGTGTGACCGGGGCTTCGAAACCTGTAAACGACAGATGGATGGATGTGCCTTCGAATCTCCCACCAGCCGGGGACCCATCGAAGGGAAAGTGATTGATGAAACGCCATCGTTCAAGATCATGTTTTCGGATTTCCAGCTCGAGTGGTGCAATTAGCAATGAGATACCGGGCTTACCTACATTGCCGACCACGTGGGCCACCGCGCATGAGGTCATCTCAGTCGAAGGAATGGGGTCATGAAGCAGTCGTTTGGCAATGAAAAGGGAGTTTCCACTCGAGATTGCCATTACGCGGGTAAGGTCTGTACTATCGACGTTGACTGTGCCAGACTCGAGTTGCAAGATCGCTGCGAACGCATGCTCGCGGGACAAAGGGCTCGGGTAGATTGTGCCTTGTACGTGGCCATCACGAGCTTGTTGGTACGCCGCTATTGGCAGGAATTCAAGTTCGGAGACAAGCGAAGCCGTCCACTTCCATAAATTTAAGGGCTTCTTGATGATGTTGATTGAGGCGGTAGTCCGTGGTAGATGCCGCTTGTAGTAGTCCATGATTCTCCCAAGTGTGAGTAAAGAATAGCCATGAGAGGTTCGCTCTGTGTCGAAGTAGTCATAGACATAACGAGCTGCAATGTCCGCACGTATAAGATTCCTCTCTAGCAAGCTGTGAAGGAAGACTAGAGGAACGGTGGTTGGCGTCTTTTGCTGCAATGGCGTTTCACCCTCTGGCCGTCTGGAGTACACTGCCGCGAGATTGTGCACGCCCATAACAAAGTCAAAGTACACATACCGACCAAAGTCCGGATTGCCGTCCAACAATTCGTAGAATATAGCGTCACTCAAAAGGGGCTCCCTCAAGTCACTCTGACTTGCACGAGGTTCTTCTGCTGCTTGTGCGTACAGTTGCGATTCTGCAAGTTGTTCCACATTGGCATAGAGCTCCTCAAGGGCAACGCCGTGTTGGCCGCTACTCACGTCTCCCGAGGGCGGGAAGCAAACCCAGCTCTCACCGTCCTGAACGTGAAGTCGCTGGTCGATACCCGGCGTCTCTCCTTCGTATTCGCTACGCTTTCGTTTCGCACCGCTCCGAGTGATGTCTGGGTTCGCTGTCGCCTTGATGGATACGTATATCCAGCCATCCTCTGCGGTACGAAGACGAATGATGTGGTGAGCATCATCCAGAGAGTATTCTGAACACATCCTTCGCAAAGTTTCCACCTGGACCTCCAGGCTGCTGACCATATGGAGAATGGAGGGCAGACTTGCTAATCCGAAGAATGATTGCGGTGAACTGCCGTCAGCTCCGATCCACGATTTTCCGTAGTTGGCTCCATACTTTAGGAGCTGAACGGCAACTTTTCTTTCGGTTTCGTCCTCTGAGGATAAAAGGTCTATTCCGTCCATGAAGGCATATGTCAGCTGCAAGACCTTCATGTTATGTTTGAAACCGAGGACGCTCTCATTCATTGCATCCGAAAACTTGCCGGATAATGGCAGCGCGTCGCCCTTGCTCTCTCGCAGTTGCACCTGATAGCGACTGTGAAACATGGCCCACAGTAGCTTGAAGATTTTCCCGGCGATTGATGCATGCGCAAGCGAATCCAAGGAAGCCCCCAAGGCGAGAGCCTGTAGCTGTGCTATGGTCAACCTAGAGTCATGCATGGTCGAGCGCTCCCGTAGGACAGTTCCATAGTATCGAAGACTGGCCAGGGGCAGGGACCAGTAGACTCCGTTTGGGGACCTAGACCGGTCTGAATCAGAACGGGAAGCGATCGATATGGTGACGATCCCGCCGTCTTGGACCAACGGATCCTTCTGACGAATCTCTCGCGTAACCGAGCCCAGGACTACTAGGTCTGGGTAAATATGCCAGGAAGTGAGGCCAAGCAGAACCCCGCCGTCAATGATCCGCTGAGGCTCTCCCCTGATTAACTTGTCAAGAGCAGTCAAAGCGCAGCTGAGGTTCTGGATCACGCTATCAGAAGAATTCTCCTTGCTGGATGCAGCCTGGCCTTTATGATTCCCGGCAGCCTTGATGGCCACCGACAGGTTATTCACGATCAACCTAATTTGATCTTGCTATCGGACACAGGCTCTGTCGGCCACTTCAAGCCAAGCACGGGCACTGGCATCCCAACTGCTCAGTGAGGAGCGGCTGATCTCGTGGGATGCCGCTGCCTGTGCCAAAGTATAGCCCGCGATGTCTCCCGAAATGGCCGCCTGCTGTTTGATCTCCATCTGCCGATGACTGACTAGCTCGGCCCAGATGGCCGTCGCTTCCTGCGGAGACCAGATCCGAGCTAGCATGCACGCTAAAAGATGCATTCGAAGTGCAGGCCTGCCACTCGTTGCACTGGCCCAGATCGTCGTGTAATCAATTCCAAAATGTGATCCAAAGAAGGTTTCTGCGAGACCTTTTGGCTGATCCACTGTATCCGTCGTTTCCTGCACGATTTCGGTCACTCGGGTGCCATACGCCTCCAGCAGCGCAGGTACCTCGGGGAGGACATCTTGAAATAACACGCCTAGTCTTCGGGCCAGAATGTGGAATGACCCTTCCTCAGCTGACTGTTTCCGGGCTTTGGAGAGATGTTGCCCGATGGGCTGCAGCTCGGTGGGAACTTCGTACTTGACCAGGGAAAAATCGAAATTCAGATGTGCTAGTGCGAGGTTGACTTCACCTACTGCATGCACTGCTGCTGCTGCGATGCGCTGTATAGAGGCCGACATGTTTAACAGACTCGGGTGTTGAACCTGACGGTGGAAGATTTCGAGTCGAAGGCCTTTTATTTGGGGATTTGTGGCTATGCTCATTCCAGCGCTTTGTAGGACATGGATCAGCGCTCGGATGCTGATGGACAAGGCTGAATCAGCTCGTCTACACGTGCAGCCATATCACTGGCCTTCATTTTGGGCACTAAACCTTTAGAATTTTAGCTATTCAATTATTCCATGTTCATGATAGAGCTTGAACTCCGTCACCTTGGCTGTAGAACTCAAGAATGAGAAGCGACAATGGAATCTATTGACTATCATTTGGGAAGGAAGAAGCAATATCTAGCCACTTTGGGTCACTGATCTAAGGAGTATAGCTTTGTTTATCTTCAAATTAGAAGCTATACAGGCTCCCAAGTGAATTGATATGATATCTATCATACCTCTTCCGGGAGTCTTGCTGCGGTATAGTGCAAGCTATTATGCAAAGTTGCCTATCCACAGAGTCTGGGAGCGCGGACAGCCTTACATGGCATGATTCTTGCCCTCTCGACTCTACTCCGTCCATCTAGCTGATTTACCTGTGTCTAGTGAACATACAGAAAAGATGATCCGTGGAAAGGGGATTTCGTAGTAGTCGTGAGGAACATGGCGACCTTTTTCATAAACCCATCTGGGATGATCAGGGTCCATTACTATTGTGGTTGATCCTATGTACACAAGTCTATTTCCATTGGTTCCTTAGGTCTGTACATTCTTGAGTCGCACAGAGTATGACCTTGAGACATATCTGACATTTCGCCTACAGCATAAAGGCCATTATTCTTAGAAGTAATTCAAACATAAGCATGGTGATCCTGGTCCTACTGCAGGTGGCAGACTCGTCACTCTGACGCCGACCTTAGCTGGTGCTGCGTGCTACATGATGTAAGGGAATGCAGCAAGGCAACTACTACTTGTCCATATACCGCCATATTGCAGATGGATTGACGCAAGATGCTGCCCCTGCCCAGACACGCGAGACTTCCCAACTGGGAAACCGCACTATAGCCACTTCCAGTTTGTTTTGAACCATTGTATATCGCCACTCTTGCTTAGACTCAGTACTCCCGAACTCTCTAACAGATACTTCTCCAAGACTCTCTTATTCTGTTCTCAGCACTCAGCTCTAACCCGCTCGAATTTCCGCGAATTCCTAGTCCATCGGTGAACGATCTCGTCACAGTTAGAGCTCCTCGCATCATCAAACGAAACCCATCTAGTATTTCTGGCATTAATAGCATCGAAAACGCCTCTCCCGATGCCTAGCTTCGACGACTTCCACATCTTTTGCAACCGATATATTCTCCCTATCCTATTACACACTGTTATCGGTCTCAACGCCATCCAGTACTACGTTTTCCCCCAAGACTGTGCTCCAAATGACCTGCTTCGCACCAGTATGAACGCTTGCGTCATACTTGCCCTAGACTGGCATCAAAAGCGAGCCCCTGGCAAGCCCACTCCTATCAATGTATGTCTGGCTATGCTCATGGCACTACTCCTGGCGCTATTATGTCTGGACACTCTGGATGTTCTCGGCTATTCCCCGCGACTTACAGGCGTGACCAGGGGCATTTCGGACCAGCACAGTTGTCGACGTATGACTGGCACCTTTGATAGTATCAAGTGGTCGTTCTATGCTACTGGCCAGCACTGTAATACGACGACGCAGGAAGCTACTGTTCAAGGTGCGATCGCAGAGTACATTCGGAATGCAGCGAATGGGACAATCTGCGGCACCCAGTGCTTGCGTCTGGATCATGGCGGCACCTGGAACGGGTGGTTGAAGCTGGGCTCGGTCAGCAGTTTTAACGAGAATGCCTACTGTGGTATCGGCCTGCCGTTTGATAAATGTATCTCTGGCGGAAACGATGATATTTAATCCGTCGCGAGAGATTTACTGCTGCTGGGAACGTTGAAGTTGTCGGCGGGCTCTAGGGTGTCTCGGGCGATACACGCTTGGTGCCTGGTGGAGGAGTAAACTAGGTCAGCACAGTCGATATCTCTATTGCGCCTCTGTTGGCTTCTGAGGTATGAAGGTTGCCTTAGATGGGTGGTAAAATAAAACTCCTACAATGAATGGAACCAATGACTTTGACGGTCCGCCTCTTTCCTTGTATGAGTATTAACCTTTAGACTATCACACATGTGCTCTTTTCCTTTGCAGTAGTCATTGGCTCTTGCGAAACGTGAACTGCCTATTCTCAGGCAAGTATTATCAGTTCATGAATGCCTTCAACGATATATTGGATGCGCCACACTCTCAGAACCACCGACCTTTTGAAAGAGCTCCTTCACATTGAATTGATTCAGAGCAGAGCACTCAATATATCCAGCAGCACCTAATTTCCTGGCCATCCTTTCACCCTCCTGACACGTTACGTGTCGTCTCCAGTCTTCCTTGACTTTTATACTAGAATCGTCGTCCCTTGCGTCAATCTGAGTACCAACTAGCAGCCACGGAACCCCAGGGCAGCAACGCCGTAGTTCATCGAACCAGTAGTATTCCACGTTGGAGAAGGACTCTCGGTTGACCACAGAGAAGCAAATGAGAAACACATCGGTATTGGGATAAACAAGTCGGCGTAACCGGTTCCTTTCTTCATCGTTCCAAGTGTCCCAAAGTGCCAGGCTGTAGAACTGGCCATCAACACTAGATATCTTAACAAATGTGATGATTGATATCTCAGATGCAGCCTACCTAGCGTCCACTGCGCAATAGTCGAATACACGACAGTTGGGAGTACAGAATTGATTGGTTACGTATCGGGTCAAGAGGGTTGTCTTGCCGACCCCGTTGTCACCAAGAAGCACGCATCTGTCTGTCATTAGTTACATGCAGCGTGTCGGATATGGCTATTTGAGATTCCATATTATTATACTTCACGACTTTGGCACCCTCTGACATTCTCTTCTCCTTGTGTGCCCTTGAGAAAGGAGCTCACCCTGAATGCGGACCTCGGAGGTCAAAGGACATTCTCGCTCGTATTTCTGAAGACTAGTCTGATTACCATTTGAATCCTCCAAAGCTAGTGTGACGGACTATCCAATCGGAAATGAGACTAAGTTGCCATAGAAATTGTATGGTGGCAAGGACAGATCGTTTCATATCTGTAAGTCTATCTAATCTGACTTTTATGGACTTGATAACCAAGTCCCCCCACGAGGCTGATCATTCCCACCGAGATGGCTATTTCTATTCTCATGGGTGATCTCAATCTGATTGGAGACTACAATGCCGCGAGAAGGATGTTCGCGGCCAGTGCCGGGTGCACCAAATGCCTCCAAGTTATTCATCTTCACATCGTCCACTATCCGTTCCTCACTCTCGCTGAATGTCGCGTTGGCGCTGATAGGATGGGCGGTCGGAGCACCCCGACGATTCCGGCTAAAGGACTCGCCAGCGCCGCCACCGATCGTCTGAAACCCACTAGGGAGTTTGTATGTTTTCTGGGAGCTGCCGAACGCGGTACCAAATAGTCGCGAGAGCCAGGATCGAAGAAGATGGAAGACCATGGGAAGATTGGTAACGACCACCGCGACGAAGGTCTCCCTTGTTCCCCATTCGCCGGCCAGTTGTGCGCCATTTACGGGATCCTACGGGTATCGATGTTAGTTCCCCACCGGAAGTGCCGAGATGACATCACGACTCACCACCAAGACAAAGACGCTCTTCAGGATGGCGCAGACGAGAACGAACAATCCAGCGCCGAAGACGATGGTGGCGGCGATCTTTTTCATGAGTTTCAGGCTGGATCTCCAGAGCATAGGGATGGGGATTAATATCAGGTAGATATCGGTGGACACGTTGGATGCAAACGAGGCCCAGACGATCGGCCTGGATATGGCAGCCTGGCAGGCGTCTACAGGTAGAATTGTCAGAGAACGATCGGTCGGATGGAGTCGCAATGGAGGTGTAGGACTTACTGCCAGGATCTGGATTGATCTGCCAGTACTTGTGGAATGGCCGGCAAGCCGCGAAGATGGTGATCACGGCGACGAGAAAGGTTCCGATGACAAGAACGAACCCAATATAGATGGGATTGCGATACCGCTGGCCAAGGCCGTCCTGTCAAGCGCATGGGTACCAGTTGTAATTAAAAGGAGACATTTGAAAGACTTACTGTAAGTCGAAGGTAGAATGATAGCATGGACAACTTGAGCGACCACATCAACACCGAATATGTAGTCCACCCGGCGACTTGAATTTTCGAGCCGATTACCCTGTATCCGTGTGAGTTCATTCTCATTCTCGTCATATCCTAAGTACTCTTCAAGACTAGATATACCTCCATCGGTATTCTGGATCGTCAGGGGACAACGCTGCCCGCTGAGCGTCGGTCAAGCCATTATTCGCAAGGCCATGTGCGACGGCGCCGACGCAGTACGCAAGAGCCGTCTGCGCCGAGTAAAATACCTGCTCGGAAGAGGCATTAGCGACTGATTGAGATAGATCCATGAGGGGAGCCACGAACAATTGCAACCCACACAAGAAAGTCTTCGGCTTGCAAGTGTCTAAACCCCACGGCTCTCACGCGGGAATACGTTCGGAGTAGGGTCACCGCAACGCCAAATGCATATAGCGTCCAGAGCACAACCGTGGACTTGTACAAGGCTGCCTGGGCAGCGTCGTCTGCTGCAGAATCACTCGACATTAGAGCAACGAAGTGTTCGGGCCGGCATGGCCAACTGGCGGGTTGACGAGAACGTAGAGTGACAACATTGGACTTGGCTTTCCTATGTATGAGGAGAGTAAAAAAAAGGTAAGCGAAAGAGTACCATCGAAAAAAAGAAGAATACCGAAAAATAGAAAAAGTATATTTTTGGCCCCATCGTATGCCGGTCGTGGTCATTGCCGAGTTCATCTAATAATGCTTGCAGGGTGTCGGAGTTACACGGATCAGTACCCAGGATCCGGTCTATGACGATACCCGATCTCGTTAGGTTCTTCAGCGCCCAGCAGCAGCCTAGCAGGGATGCGACAGGGATTAAGACAGGTTCACCAATCCCTTGCGCCGAATAAATGAACTCTCATTAATTGGTACCTGCGCCCTCATGCCACTGCAATAGCCAAGGATGTACTCCATCCCGAATGAGGGGTTAAAATGCGACATGCCCCTGTACTTAATGTAACCTAGGCGCTCGATCGAGGCCAATCAATCGTGCATTCTCTCTATCTGAAATCCCTGTCTTTTTCCTCTGCTTCTGTTTCGAGTCAAACTTTCTTCTTGCAGCCAGCCCAATGCGTTGGCTCAAAATCCATGCTGTTGCAGCCCTGGTTGTCTCGGCTGTACCTGCATCCTGCTTCAGCGTGCCTGTTGCCTGTGATGGGCTGGGAGGCATTTGTCCACGGGGAGATGCTGACTTGAAGGAGCTGGGTGACAAGCTCTCGAGTACCGGCAAGATATATTTCCCTGGGTCGGCTGAGTTCGAACAGGCGTCCACACGGTGGTCAGTTCTGGATGCTCCCAAGGTCAATGTTGTCGTGGTTCCGGGGACGGAGAACGACGTTGTTGAGACGGTATGTTGTCCTTCCCCTCTTGTCTCTTTTTATCATCGGCGAGGGGTATAGTTTGCTAACTAGGAGATAGGTGAAATACGCCAACAAGAAAAACTTGCCCTTCCTGGCGTACAATGGCGTGCATGGAGCCATTACCACGCTCGGCAAGATGGATCATGGTATCGAGATCTACATGAATCAGTTGAGCAGCGTGGAGATCTCCAAGGATGGGAAAACAGCCAAGATCGGGGGTGGTACCATCTCCAAAACCGTCACCGACCAACTTTGGGCCGCCGGGAAGCAGACGGTGACCGGAACATGCGAATGCGTCAGCTATCTGGGCCCTGCCCTTGGAGGTGGACATGGATGGCTTCAAGGACACCACGGACTGGTTGCAGATCAGTTTGTCTCAGCCAATATTGTCCTGGCCAACGGCAGCTTGAAGACGATCGACGCAAGATCCGACCTCTGGTGGGCTCTCAACGGAGCAGGTCACAACTTCGGCATTGTGACCTCTGTGACCACCAAGATCTACGATATCCAGCACGCCGACTGGGCAATCGACACGCTCATCTTCAGCGGCGACAAAGTCGAGGCCGTCTACCAGGCCGCCAACGAGCACCTCCTCAAGAACGGCACTCAGCCCGAGGACCTCATCAACTGGTCGTACTGGCTCAACATCCCCACCGCTGACCCCAACAACGTAAGTATATACCCAGTCCATAAAGTTGTTGCCTTGTCTCACAACTCCTAGCCCGTCATCCTATTCTACATCATCCAGGAAGGAGTAAAGACAGTCGACGCAGCCTACACAAAGCCCTTCCACGACATCGGCCCGCTGTCCGCTGAATCTATCGGAGGAAGCTACACCGATCTCGCCGGATGGACCGGCATCGCCACGACCTCGCCGCCTTGCCAAAAGGCCGGGCTCGTCAACCCCCGCTTCCCCATCTATCTCCAAGGCTACAACGTCCCCGCCCAGAAGAAGGCATACGACATCTTCGCCGCCGCCACGCGCGGCTCCTCGGCGTTCAACAACTCCATCTTCATGTTCGAGGGCTACTCCATGGAAGGCGTGCGCGCCATCAACAGCAAGTCCAGTGCCTTTGCCTTCCGGAACGAGAACCTTCTTGCTGCGCCGCTTATCACCTACGCGCCTGCCGGGCCGGACCGTGACAATGAGGCCGCGCAGCTGGGTAACCAGCTTCGTCAGATCCTCTTCCAGGCTAGTGGGCTGAAGGAGTTTGGCGCGTATGTCAACTATGCCTATGGCGATGAGACGCCGCGGCAGTGGTACGGGAGTGAACAGTGGCGCCAGGATCGCCTGCAGGCCTTGAAGAAGAAGTATGACCCGGCAGGCAAGTTTAGCTTCTTCGGCCCAATCGCTTAGAGACAATCATGAGGAGGTCACATGGAATCATTGTACAGTCTATAGGGCGGACCCCTACGCTTTAGTATAGTAATAGATCAAGTATTTCTTTGGAAGATAGGTCCCAAAAATGCAAGTAGAGTATACCAATTTTCCTCAAGACTTTACAACGTAACTGACTGTAAAAGCGAGATACATATTGCTTCCCATGACCAACTCAGATATAATTAGATTCTTCAGCACCGATTATAGTGAGTGCAATCTAGTACTCATGTTAAGATTGCACGTCGGAGGCTAGACGACATTCTAATCTGACTGACTTCAGCAGACGCTCTATTTCCGCCACTGATTCCCTAATTCTTGGGCGATGCCGACTTCATTTTTTTGGTCGCTTGGCGAACCGGTGTGTGTCATGCAAGCATGTTGCGCCAAATCTCCTGCACTCCTCGCAGATATCAAAATTTTCAACGTAGCACATCATGCACTGGTACGAAAATTCGCGGAAAGTTGAGACTTCACATACGTACTTGATTTTCTAGGAGGGTCGATGGCCTTCCCTTTCCGTTTTGGTGTCTACCCCTCGCTGCTTTTTTGCTCACTAAGTAGATCTGAGCAGGCCCTGAGCACGCCCAGGGCAGCCTAAGGCGATCACTGAGGACGCGGTGAGCAACAGGTTAATAGAATCTTGATTGATTGATTGATTGACGCGGTGAGCAGAAGGCTGAGTGCCCTAAGCAAGTAACCTTAATAAACTGCACCCCAACTAATAATCACCCCCTTGCCTGTTTCTCTTCTCACAGTCTACTTTTACCCACCACACTCCCCTAAAGCCTAGCACTGCCATCAGGTCTCTTTCCCCAGCAGGAAAATGCTATATTTACCACACTGCACCAGCATGGTAAACATTATAGTAGGCTTTCTCTAGTAAAGTGCGATTACTTCCAATTCCTTCAATCAGACCGTCGAAAGAGCAAAGAAATTTCTTATGGAATATATTGGAAATTGACTTGCGGGTTCAATGTATTTTACCTGGGTCAACACTTCTGGTGCCAGATTGGGACCTTTATTTTAGACAAGCTATGTCTGTTTATTGCGCTAGGTGAGTATAATCAGAGTAGATGTGGTGGATCTTTATTTTGTTGACTTTGCTTATGATGACAGGTTCCAGAGATTATGACGCGAGTGTGATACTCCTAGTATATTTGTGGCTCTGAGGTTGGGAGCTATGTCCTGGATGCGTAAATGAAACATATAGCCTCTTATATCATCATTATACCAATTAGTTTGTGAGTTCACTGAATTTATGCATTAACTTATTACATCTAATAGCAATATGCAGGCGTGTACTATTTAGGTTTTCCTAGAAAACCTCACATGTACCACTTCACCAGGGCGAACTATAAGCCTCATCAAGACCAATGGTGGCATTTGTGCCTGAGACCCTGTCCTAGGCATTCCCCTGGTCCGGCGGCTGTAAAATCTACCTAATGCTTCCGCAGTGTCACACAGCACCAAGAGTGCTCCTAGAGCTATTACTCTCTCCCCTTCCCTGGCTTGTACGTGCTATCTAGCTGCGCTTGTAAAATCACTACTGTGGGTTTGCATATAAGATGGCCATCCATTCGCCGCACAAAAGACTAGGGGTAGAGGCAGGACAGGGCCTGGAAGACTGTAGGGTATAGATCCCTTACTAACTCTATGAAAATAATCAATAGAGAGTCGTTAATGTGGTGCGTGTCAACCCAACCTAACTATCGGAGTTAACCAGAACAGTGCAGGAATTAGCCAGCAGCATGTGATTTTGCATGACATGAATATGCAAACGGTCAGCACACCATCCAGCTTCAAGGCAGCAACAGACACTGGCGCTAACTCCCTCCTACTAATGCAATTAAAGACAAAGCAGCAGATCAAGCCCCCATCATTATGTTCGCATAATACAGCCATATTTTGAGCATCTAGCAGATGGAAGGGGCTACAGAGGGCTGAATAACATACCATATACTTCCAGACCAACTGGGTTGGATTTCATGGGCATATGACCAGCACGGGCAAATAAACCAGCAGCTAACACCCATACTCATCTTCAGTAGCTTGCATTCTCGCCAAAGGATTCTAGCCCAAAAGAGGTTTCAATCTCTCTGGATCTACGGCCTGAATGGCATCTGGACCCGACGGGCCCAACATCAATGGCTGGAAGGCTGATCGGACATGGACATGGTGTCTGGGACGATCAACTTCGGTGACCAAGGCATGAAGGTCAGAGACTAGGGATGTGGGATGTATAGCTAACGACCACAATCAGAGGCCAGATGCAAATGATCTTGCAGTCAGACTGGCCCTCGATCTGTGGCTCTCAAACCCATCCAGCCTGCGTGTCGCCAACTAGTGGCCACTTCAGCTTAGAATTCAACTATGTCACTGAGCCAGCAATATTAGTCCCCACGGCAGATAGGGCCCTTTCATGTCTCGAGGCAAAAGCCATACAGTCAGTCTTCTTGCGAACATTGGAACCACATATACCAGCATCGGAGACGATATTTTAGGTTTACAACATGTACTCAGACGCATTGGGTCTGACACCGTCTACTGAGTATATCTGTGCAGACGAAGCAATGGACCTGGGATTTCCCGCGGCAGAAATATTTCTAGGTCCACTAGACGTCTTAGAACGAACTGAGATACTCACCATGAGCCCACCACAAAGCCTTCGGAATCATCGTGTCAGGGGGGGTAATCTGTTACAAACCAATGAAGAAGGACTGATTTGCAACAGCCCTCCCAGACATGGTCGATCCGCGCGCGGTCTTCGAAATGGTTATTCCCCGGCCTATATCCCACGTCATCTCAGGAAACGATCTGGAAGTATTCCATGAACAATACAGCAATTCTAAGGCGTCTTCTTGCATCTTGGGGAATCCCAACTAAATTCAGCAAGGAGAGTGTCATTACTCCCACGGCCTCCTACCTCCGTCACTTGGGAACTCCATCTCGCGGCTCAAGGCGACTGGGTTCACTCTATTACAAAGGCTCATATCACGCTGGATATTGCCAGATACTTCCTTTATCAACTGCCTCATCCTTAGATAGTTTCGAAGTTCTTCAAGTCGCAGCTATTACCGACGATCTCCTGTGGTGCATTTTCGATCGTCACGAAATATTGCATAGAGCTTGAGGGAGACTTAGCGGTGGTGCCTGCTCATTGCAGGACGGCTGCGGTTGTAGTGTTTCTTCTATTATCCCAGAGCAAAGGATGGGTTAAAGAACGCGTGAGCTGAGGCTGCTCAGTATGCGAGGCTTGAGAGACTGGGTATGCACGACCTGAGTTGGCGAGATTAGCAACATTCTCTGCTTCACTGGCCGTAAATGAGATTTGTTTCTATTGTGTGTATTATGAAACTTGTTATACGCTGCTTTCAAAAGTTCAATAAATAATTCTTTGAGCATGAGGTCAGAGGGAAATATATATGATTATGACGCCACTAATAAAGCACAAGCAACGTCATTAAAAAACGCAGAACCAAAGAATTAAAATCCCAATATTCAAATAACTATTGGTCCAGTGTATAATACAAAGTAACACCTATCAAACCTTAAGAATCCAACGAGGAGCCACCTCGACGCCGGCTCTTATAATCATCCAACACCCTAACAACATCCTCATTCAACTTCGACGGTGCAAAAGCAGACGACATATTCCTCTTTGTCAAGTCGAAATCAGCCTGCACCCGACCAGTAGAAAGCAAAAGCTCAACTGCCTCGACATGTCCCCTCTCAGCAGCGAGCATAAGCGGCGTACTACCCTCGCTGTCCTTCCCATCCGGTTCGACCCCCTTCGCAAGCAGCAACCGCATAATATGCGTCCGTCCATGTTGCGCAGCCCCCATGAGTGCCGTAACTCCGTATTTATTCGGCAAGCTCGGATCAACCTTCTCGTTAGCAAGAAGCGCCTCCACAACATCCGTGTACCCAGCAGCAGCGGCAGTTAACAGAGCCCGGTCTCCAAAACTAGGCTGACGGTCTGGGTCCACGGTAGGGATAGCAAGAAGCAATTTCACGATCCCCACGTGTCCGTTCCTCGCGGCGGCCAGGAGAGGGCTCTCTCCTCTCTGGAATCTGGGGTCCGCGTCCACGCCTTCAATTGCCAGGAGGCGCTTGACGATCCCTAGATGCCCATTTCCGGCTGCTGCCAGGAGCGGCGTTTGCCCGAACTGATCCATTGAGTTTGCGTCTACCTTCCCCGTGCGAAGCAACTCCTCTACTACATCTTCTGCTCCCGCTGCAGCGGCAACCGTAAGGGGTGTTTCCCCGCGCTGGGTCCGGCAATCAGGCTGGATGTCTTTCGTCGATAGTAACAGTTTCACGATAGCGAGGTAATCGCCCGCCTTTGAATGCACGGCATCCGTTGTTGGCCTGGGCGAATTCCGCCTCGTGAAAGGCGAATTCCGCCCCATGAAAGCAGAAGGCAGGCCGTTCCCTGCCGCCCAGACAAGAGGAGTTTGGAGATGCACGTCGGGCGCATTCGGATCTATCTTTTCTGAGCATAGAAGAATTGAAGAGACCTCTTTGTGACCGTTTCCAGCTGCCCATGAAAGGGGCGTTCTGTGCTGCGGATCTTGGGTGTTGGGGTTGGCGCCTTCTTGCAGCAGGCGGTTGCAGGGGTCTGATTTGCCGTGTTTGGCGGCCCATATTAAGGCTGAGCTATCATGATGAAAGATTTGGTGATGGTAGAGAATGGGGTTAATGATTGTGTACAGGATTTTAGATGCTTTGGCTAGAGAATCCAGGTCTTGTACAGATGGGAGGAGGTGGGTGACGATACATAAGAGTAATTCAGTTGGGAGGGTTGGTAAAGACATATCTATATTTGTCAAGGATTTGAAAGAATGGGGAATCAAGCCAGGCTAGATCAATGGAGGGAGGCAAATTAACTTATTAAGTACCCCCTGGGCTGTGGGGACTTTGGCTGTCAGAGTTGGAATGGGACTAAGAATACTTTAATAAAGAATAGAGAAAACGTTGCTGAGAGGGCTAAGGGTGCCTAAAAGATGCCTGAAAGATGCCTGAAGGGTTAGGCACTCTAGTCCTGGAAGTATAGCATCACATGCAGGTATACTTGTCTAACAATTCAGGACATAAATTCCGTGGGATGTTAATGTAAACGGTATGAAAACCACGCAGTGGAGAATTACTGCTATATACAATCTATCAATCTCTACCACTTACAAATCACCAAGGGATTCCAGTGCTGATTTCCCTTTGCGCAAGTCCCTCCCCCACTGCCCTTTGTGCAATCAGCATTGCGAATACTTATTACAATGTAACTCTCCCATTTTCTTGCCTACAAGAGCAAAGCCCCCCGAGGTATCCTTATAGATACACTTGGTACCGAATATCGTGAACGACATCCCGTCCTTCATCCCGTTATAAGCACCGTCTGTAATCACCGCATCGGGCGCTACACTCGACACCTCCGGGCATCCAATACAGATGCCCTCAGGCAGGGGAAACTGGGAAATATTCCACACGTCTCACCGGACTTCTTACCGTCGTCTTTGTAGTAGGTGATTTCGACCTTGCCTGGGTTGGACCCGCTGGTAGGGGCGGGACGGCTGTCGCTGGATGTAGTCTTGGTGGCCCATTCGGTGGCGAAGTCGGCTTTCTGCCTGCTGGAGATGCTACTGGCGATGGACTTCAGCCCGGAGTCTGGTTCCGCCGTGGCGAAGACATCGACGGCAGTCACGGTCATCGGGTGGATCTCTTCGGATGTCCTGGTGATGGTCTCCGTGGATCCAGTGGGTGAGCAGCTGGCGGTTGCTTCGCAGTAGCTCTTCGTGGTGGTAGTCATTGTGGCTGCGCCGGCCGGCGTGTAGCTGCTGATGACCTCTGTGCAGATAGAGGCCGTCTGAGTGGTGCAGCACGAGTTGGGCTCCTCGTCATCATCATCGTCGTTGCCGTGTCCGTGGCTGCCACCGCCACCTGAGCTTCCGCCAGACGATCCGGGGCAGGTTCCTAGTATGGCACAGTGGTTGATTTCAGCCAGGCTTGGTGCTGCCTGGCCCGCGACCCAACCCCGGGGGAGAGTCGTGGGGTTTGCCTGGCTTGACGGTTATCTTGGGGATTGGGGGTTTGGGCTGGATGATGGTTCCGGTGGAGGTGGGCTGAACGTCGACGCTGTGCGAAGACGAGTGGAATGTCACGATGACCACGCCTGTGGTCGAGGAGGTGAAAGTCGCACCTGGTCCGACGGTAATGCTCGGCGAGGGACCGGTAGTCCAGGTGAAGGAAGAGTCTGTGGGCATTAGTTCAACACCGGGGTGAAGGTTGATGGGGAGTGATGTGGCATGATAGCCTGGGTAGGGTAGAGGGTCATGTTCTCTGCATTTGGAGGGACATAGACTGGATAGAACGGAATGTAACCGAGAGGGAAGGGCTTGGGCGTGACGACGGTAGACGTGGTGACGACGGCGTCATTGTCGCCTGGGGAGATCAGGGGGACGGTGACAGGGCCCCAGGTCACGGTTGAGGTAGGAGACAAAGGATATTTAAGAAGGGTCAGAGTGCAAGGAGGCTCGCAGAGGGCATCGTGATCATCGTCGGTCCACAACGAGGGTCCAACATAGGCAACATCGCCGGAGCCGCCGCCATGGCTGCCATCGCCGCTGCTTCCATCGTTGCCGTCATCACTGCTGTCCTTCGAGACGCAGGAATCGGGGCAATAGTATCTGCGGCTACAGACAAAGTCGCAGAGTCCGTCGTTTACCAAGGGATCCTTGCCTTTAGCCTTACCACTCAGTCCAGCAGTAGGCGCTTTGGGTACATTCAAGCGCCCCTTGTGGTACAGGTGCAGGAGTTGATAGGACAGTAACAAAATTGCAAGCATACGAGCACAGTCCTGCCAGGTCTCCATCATCAGTACCCGCAACACAGGCCGGGGCAGCAAAGCCAGACACAATGGGCACGGTCAGTTCCACCTCCTCGGTGCCACAAGCATTCTCAGGACAGTAGCCATAGTTGCAACTGAAACTGCACAGGCCGCTGTATGTAGCATCCTCTCCTGCAATCGGATATCCTGACTTCTTCCTCTCGGCACCCAGAGACTCACAAGTACACGCGGAATAGGGGCAGTATCCATAATGACAGGCAAATTCACACAATCCGACAAAGTCGTTCACGCTGGTACCATTGACGCAGACCACATCATCAAGCTTGAGTCCGGGCGACGCGGAGACGGCGGCAGAGCTGGAAGCACTTCCCACCCACGCGTTGTAATTCTGAATGCCATTGGTGCAGGAATCCGAGATGCTGGCGCCGGTGACCTTTGCAATGACAGTTCCCCCACGGTGGATGGTCACAACAACATCGCCAGAATGGCCGCTGAATGAGGCTTCGCCATGGTGAATACCAATGTCATTTTCGGGGGTCTTGGTCCACGTAGCAGGCACTGTAGCACCACCGACAGTGACAGACACGTCGGCCGCCACAGTGAGAAGAGCAGAGAAGAACACCTTTTCCTGCAAGACTTGTGCCGGTGTGTATTCAAGTTGAAGCTGGCTGGCCGGATTGGCAGTAGTTCCACCGCTACTACATGCTGCTGCAGGAGCCTTGCGATACCAGACTTGCAAGCCCTGATGAACGTGGTTAGAACAGGCCTAGTTTCCAATTTGCTGGGGGGTCACTTACTGCGTGTATAGTGTGACGCACTGGCGCTGTAGGTCCTTGGTTTCATCAAGGCGGTTGTTTTTACCCCTGATAGAGTCTTCTTCCTGGTGGGCTCTTGAAATATATCCAGAAGCAAGACGACGCTTCTTCCGGGCATCTTCACTGCACCAAAAGGAGCTACTGCCCATAGTCAGCGAAGAGAAAAATACATGAAGAATAAGAGAGCAGGTATTTGTATATGCACGGGACAAGTTGGAAAGAGAAAAGGAACGAGATATTGGGTTGCTTGGTCAGCTTGGAAACGGATTAGAGACATCCCTTTTATAACTTTACCAGAGCTATTATGATCAATAATGTTTATTCTTAGTGAATTTCACCACTGAAATGACTTCCAACACCCCATCACAATTATGGTTGCGTCATAAACAACGAGCATTTTAGCGGAGATGGGTATTGCAGAGACAGTCAATTTGGCATTGATGTCAGGCTAATGGTATAGAATATTGAGGGATGAGCAGCTCACAGCGCACATGACCAATCACTGATCCTGCACTGAGTAGGATCTGAGCGCTCACTGAGCACTCGCTGAGCCTTAACCGGTGATGAGAAATACTCAGTGAGCAACCCCCTGAGCGCCCTCATTAAAGCAGCCTCATCCAAAGAGGGAAAGTCACATTGATTCTAGAAAATCAAGTCTGTATAGATACATATATCACAGTTTAGGTTGCCACAAGCTTCAGATCCATCACTATCGCAAGCATACCAGGCAAGATCTTCCCCGCAGTCTTGTGATAAAAGCTTTGCAATGTGAGGTTTATTTCTTGCAGTGGCTTCCATAAGTGCTATATGACTGAAGATATTAGTTACATCTTGGTTAAAATCTGGAGCCTTAAGTAGTGCTATCGCAAAATTTCCCAGTCCAAGGACTGTGGCATCCATTAAGGGTGTGCGGCCATACTTATCCTTTTTATTTGGATTAGTTCCTGCCTTCAGAAGCAGCTTCCACAAGAGATTTTAAGTCGTAACGGCGTTCCACCAGCCAGTTTATAGGTCCTCACCTCTTGGTATCAGTGGTGTTTGGATCTGCCTGGTGGTTAGCTGCCAACAGTTTTTCCTATCCTGAAAAGGGTACCATTATATCTGGGTGCCATGCGCCAACAAGCAGCCGGAGGAGTAACCCCGGATAGCACCCACCCACCACATCCAGACTATAGTCAATGCAGTGATCCAGGCATGGGAGCAGGCCTAGGCTTAGGTGAAGGCCCAGCAGATCATCGAGGCTACTGAGCTCACTGATGCCAACCCATGGCTGCGAATGACTGGATGTGCGGAATACCCAGTCCCTAGTCCATGAATGGCTGCACTGCAACTGATTTTCTCCACCTACGATTAGTTGTTTGGGGTGTTATTTGGTTTTCCTTGCTACTTACCTACATTCTGGCTTAGTAGCTTAGTAGCTTAGTAGCTTAGTATATACCTAGATTAACTTTATATAGAGTAACTCAGAAGATATAATTACTTCTTTCCCTCCCCTGTTATCATATTATATCACCTTACTCTATGTTATAGTTAGTGTCACCCCCACCACCATCATCATCATCATCATCACCACCAACAACCACCACGACCCAAAGGTCCGGATGCATAGCAAAGGAGATAGGAACATCGTCGGCCGGGAGGATTCCGTTTATTTTCAAAACCCTCCCCAGGGGCTGTTATAGGCTTATAGCCATGCTGGCAAATGCACACATATTTCGGGACCACAGGCCAAAATCACAACCCTTTTTGATAATCAGTCTAGTTCTCGTTGAACTCAAGTTGAAGTTGAAGACAACAGTGAATCCGTGGTTGATATTGAAACATGATATGACGGGGCCGCCCAACGATCGCGTCCAAACCTCGTTGACTCTAAGATCGAGTCGAAGTTTGTTTTAGACAGCCAGATCTAGATCTCGAGGACGTAAACCAGAATCAGTAAAACACAGGCTCGGTGCGTTGTGCGTGCGAACCATACAGTCAGGCAATTGTGGAGCTGATGCCTTCATGGATTATTCCGCTTTGGAACAGTTTTGGCGGACACCAAGATGGATTATCATTCATCGCAAAGGCAATTGGATGAAAACGGCAAAGCTAACCTGATTTGCATTAGCCACAAATTACTCATCAATGTCATGAGACACAGTTGGTCGATTCCGGTTCTGAGGTCATTCTGGGAGTTAAAATTAAGAGCTCGATCTAGACTCCACAAAGGATACGATCGTTGGGCGGCTCCGTTAAATTAAGTCCTTGGGCTAACCTTGGATTGACTGTGAAGCTTGAAATCACTTTATGTTCCCCAGAACTATGGACCTAGCTCGATCATCAGGAGTCTCGAGCATCAGGAAGTGTCGTGTTTTGGCCTGTGACCCCGAAATGTGGCGAGGAATATAGTCGAATCCTGAATATTTAGACTGTCAATCATTCACAACTGACACACTTCATCCGGCGCCATTAACCCACTACATATCGAGACACTATCGGTGTCACCTTCAATTCTCCTTTTTCTCTTACGCCATATCCAATATTAAATACACAATGCATTATAAGACTATCTTAACTCTATTTGCATTGGCCAGTGTGGCTACAGCAGCTCCTGCGGAGGATTTTGAAAAGAGACAAACAAGCGGCCAATGCCCACATCAATATTGCTGTGCGGATAAATTTCAATATTTGAGCAGTACATTTTTTACTGGCTGTGCACGTAAGTAGCAAAAAGAACTGCATAGGTTCTGGCTTAAAAGTTGCTAACAAATTTAGCCACTACTGCAACTTGTGGTACTGGCCACAGGCCTCCTATCGCTGTCTGCTGCAATCCCACTCAAGTTTTTGGAACTTTTGTTCAGTGTGGTTGAACTAACAACAATCAACAAAATCCAATGGTTCAAATACCTGAAAAGGGGCGATCGTATAATATTCTGGCCCAACCCCTAAAAGCTGCTTTGAGTAACTTGTCTTCATCTCCTTTCTTTCTTTTTTCCTTTGAATTAAAGTTGGACATAAAAAAGTCTTTTTTTCAACATACTCTTATCTACAATATAATATCTACTTAGTTTTTACACATACATTTCCCCTAGCTGGTCTGGGCTAGTTGCGTACCACCAAAGAAGAATGACAGCCCGTAGGCAACATGATACTTTAAGTCCAATTTCGGCCTTATATCTTTGCAAAACCGACATTGGCTTGCCATTATGTTAAAGATATCACCCACAAACGCAGCTATCCGTTAGCTAATCATAGCTTAAGATATGTGAGCGGAGCAAATCCGAAACATTATATAAACCTTTATTAGTATTAATATCAATGACTTCCAAGATGCCCTGCTCAGCCCCCGTTTTGAGAGTGTAGCATAGTAGAGGACAACAAAGCCATCTTCATCTAGGTAGGATCCCCGCTCTGACAACGACATGATACTATCTCACCATCCCACGTATCTCGTCTAGCTCATGGTCCTTTTCCTTCAAGTAGCGGCTATCGTAATCGAGCTGCCACCGTTCTTCACCATCCGGGCATAAAGACAGACCAAAAGCATATTTGTGGCTCCTTCGCTCGAGATAATCCCGCCGCTCGCTGTCCGTCATCCGCGACGTTCCCCGGAAGTCAGGCGCAATCCTGCTCCGTGCGACCCACGGAATCAGTGACCCAACTGATTTCGGAATACGGGGCCCATCGAAATGATTATGACGGAGGGCGAATACGAGGACCAGCACCGAGATATCAATGGACAGGAGGACGAGGATAATGACCATCGAGGGGGTTGAGGGCATCATGCTCCAGAGCGTCGTGATGATGGTTCCATCCACCGCGGGGGTATCAGGGGACCGGCAATGGTCGAAGTATATGTCCCGGGCGAGCGTGAGGTAGCTACTGAAGATTGCTTTGTAGGTGGACTGGACGGCACGGATGAGGAACTTCGGCTGGAAGGAGTCCAAGGTTGGGTCCAATGGCTCGTATGCAAAGGCCGTCAGGAGCCCCGGCCAGTCATACTGGTAGAAGGACGAGTCGCGGTGTGCAGGAAACTTCTGTCCGATGCTGGCTAATGCCTGGTTGAAATGTCCCAGGCTTTCCGACGCGTTGCGCAGCATCTGCCCGCGTGCGTCCGTCGTAGCAGCTGCAGGCTTGTAGGAAGCGATTGTTCCTTGGTCATCAAACAGGACTTCAAATTCATTGATCTGGATGGACGGTGTGCAGTACAGCGCCAGCGAGTTCTGGCTGTTCACTGGGGCGGAATTCCTTGTTGCCCACCGGGCCAGGATGAAGATTGACGTCTGGCAAGGAGACGCCGGAGAGTCACCACTAGGTAGAAGAAATTCAATGGATCTCCGGATCAAACCACCGTCCGCCTCCCTGTTGTCGACTTCTGCCGTGCAGTTGTCGCCTGATGAGGTTGTATGGTTCCAAAACACCTTATTAGTCTTGCTGTCAGTCCATGAACTGTTGATCGGAATTTGGTGACATTCAAGATTAGCTCCGACGCCGAGCGTGACGGCACTGTAACTGACGCCTCCGATCGAATCATAGTCCGATTCATTGACCATAAGCGGGAGGAAGGAATAGTCTGGGGTGGTCCAAGGCAGTAGGGGAGTGCCAGTGGTCAGGCTGCTTAAAACCAAACTGTAACCGTCAAATTCCACCTCGAAGGATGGCGCGTGGAAGACGGTATCATTATACTGGGCAGAGAGAAGTCCGGAGGCCGGCGTCCTGTACTGCTTCAGCCGTGGTTCGAAAACCCCACCGCTCACGACGTTTAGCAATAGGTCCAGGACACAGGTAACAGAAAGAATAGTCAGAAGCAGAGGTGCACCGCGACCGCTCTTTCGCAGGACGGCGATTGGAGTCTGCGAGCCATAGTTCAGTGCTAGTGAGTCCGTTGCAGAAGCCATGCCCCTTTGCAGGCGCACCCATGGTTCCAATACGCTAAGGTGGCGGAGGATGGATGCGAGCAGCGCGCTAATCATAGAGGAAATAACCGTTGGAGCAAAGAGCAAAAAAATGGTGAAGGCGACATCCCGTGGCGAGAAGTCGTCGTTGATATCCTTCAATCGAAGAGAGCTGAGCGCGAAGCCAAAGGTTACCAAGATTCCAATGAGCAACACACACTCAACCAGGAACCAGATCGGAACTAAGAAATGCGGCCTGGGGTCTCGTCCTCTTCGGGTTGCTGGGAGGGCCAAACATTCTGAACCGAGATGTCGATTCAAGGGAACGATATTGATCTTTCTCTCGGGCGGCGCGCCCGTCCACTCGCAACGGAAACCCTTGGACCACAGGCGGAGCTTCCTTGTCGTGGCGCTATGAAACTGCGCGTCAGACCGAGCGAGCACTGTATCAGGCGGGAAGAGGTCAGCGATAATCCCGCATTGTGCGGCTATCGACCCTGGATCACCTCTGAGGAAGTTCATACGCCGCGGATAGAGTGCTGCCAGAAACAACAGCAGCGCAACTGCCGCAAGGAGGATGGTCTCAGCCATGATAGCAGTTCTGGAGATGACGGCAAGAGCCACAACGAGTGTAACCTGCCTTGCATCCACCTTCGTCGGGGTTGCAGTTGGGTTGAAAAATTTGCTCATTGTGGTGATGAATTTCTGTTTCCAAGAATGAATGATCGCATCCTGGTATTGGGCGACGTCGATCCGGGCTGTAGAGTTCGACGCTACTGGTCCCAGGTCTATACCATCCGCCGCTACGACATTCGGGGTCCGAAGTTTTGCAAGGGGGGTCGAGTGATATTCAGAAAAGAGAAGGTCCTGAAACTCTTCATGGGCAAAAACCGTCCCTGTCAGACTGCGCTCGGTGGAGGGGTGAACCTTCGCATTAGTTATAGAGCCATTGACGCTGATGAAGAGCTCAGCCTCAGCAGACATGTAAGAAGCGGTGCACGCAAATGCAGTGGCATTGGAGGTCACAGAGTTAGACATGCCTTGCACATCCATATCTAGATCAATGAGGATCCCAAACAGGGCGACTGATTGGCAACCGCGCGTACGAAAAGCGGATGGGGCGTGGAATCGAGTCTCGGAATGGACAGGCTCCCAGTACCGCACCTGAGAAGAAGCGCCCCGGTTTGCGGTGATGTTGCCGAGGGAAACGTCACAGTAGCATGTGGATGCTGCATTGCCGTCGCCCAACGACGGGAACTTCATCCCGCTTATGTTCCAGTAAACATCACGACCTGGGGGTTCAAGGCCCGTCAGGTTCACCTCCTGGCAGGTGAGCTCGGCCCAATACACGGTTTGATTGAGCGACAGCAATGACGTGTCGTTCTCGTCGAGGGGCATTGACACAGCGGCCGTGGCATAGTCAGACGATCGGAGTAGGAAAACGTCGTCAACAGTCATCTTCACGGAGGCATTTGCGTGATATTCATAGGTCTCGCTGGATAACCAGGCTTTCTGGGTATCCACGTCAAGCAGATCAGGCCAGGTCCGAACCGATTTCGACTCGGTGGTGGTCACTTCTGTTAGAACCAACAGGCCGGAGAGAAGAGAGGGAAGAAAGATCCGCAGGAGGATCGACAGACCAGAGGTGAAGAATACAAGCCAGTGGCGATTGCGAGCCGCCATCAGGGGGGCCATGGGGCCGTGGTAGAAGCTGTAGCTGGTGAAGAGCACTGCTGCAGCAACGCCTTCAGGTTTGGCTAACTGGAAATATGGCTCTAGTCGCACAACGTCGGAGGCGCTAAAGTTCCACAGCGTCACGGCCAGCACTGCTACAGCCGTCGGTATGTAGATATAAGCCACCGAGACGCTCTTTGGCAGTTCAGCAGTCGTTTTGAAGATGATGAGGCCCTGGTTGCGGTCCGAATATTGGCGAATGCATTCAAGGACAATTGACAGGAGGACGAAAAGCACAGCCAGCGAGCAGAGGAAGGGAGCTTGCAACGATGAGGGCATCCAGCCTCGGTCTTCAGCTGCAGTGCAGTCATTCTGGTCCTGTTTCTGGCTCTCTGCAGACCTACGGGTGCTGTCTTTTGCGGCCATATTGTCACCTTAAAGAGATGGATTTCTCAATCGCCCTCGTGATTAGTAGCCTGCCTTGTTTCCGTTGACATCTCTTCCATGCCTCCTGCCGCATCGCTACCGTCAAGAGAGGGTCTAGCATAAGTGAAAAATCACAAGTCCGGGTTCATTACTAGGGTATACAGAAGACCGTTAGAATCCATTGAGATCTGCAGGATCAAAGATAATCAACCTTTTTTTCCCCTGTGTCAACAGAACCCCAGGTCCATTAAGACCGAGTAAAGAGACTGCGAGATGTGTGGTGGCTTGGAAATGCTAAGCTGAAGGAAAGGTCGCCAAGCACGAATTACTTGAATTTTTAAGGAGAAATAGATTTTCAGCTAGTCTAAAACATGGCCATAGGCAGCATGATAACATGGATAGCGCAGGTGCTAAGTGGGCCTGTTTCAACCAACTGAAAGACCTATTTCAACAGATTATCAGCCATTTTCGGCCTAATTGTTTTGTTCGTGAGCAATGACAGTAAGCGTATAAGCTTATGGCAGGCCATCCTCTAGGTCCAGAGTCACTTAATGAAAGCTTTTAATGCGATTTAGTTAACTATGTAGTTTTGTCGACTCTGCGGTCCCTGACCGACCCGGTCCCCTGAATGTGGGGTTTCTCCACTCATGCGGCCATGACTTTTGCCTAGATAAACGGAGCTGATATGTGGAGTCGAGAACTCTGCTTCGACCTCCCAGTTCAGCTAGCCTCACCAAGCAGGTTAGGATTAAATCTCTTCAGATCCTTATCAATCTTGTGTAGCTTAGCCTAATATTCAAAGAAAGAAAAAAGTATATAGGATTTGGCAAGTATTAGCTGTGAGACATCACTTTTCAACCTCTATATTTGTTGAAGAAGACACACTAGTAGACGAGTCGCAATACCTATACCACAGCGCGCAGGGCTATCTATCAGAGGGCTGTTGCCTAGAACAGTGTAGTTTATGATATTAGATAAGTCCAGCCGTTCCCCACCGCTAAAACTCATTAGCTTAACTGCAATGTCAACTCCAATACTAGCGGGTATAGGGTCCACATATCAGGTTCCATAATAGAGAATTCATGATTCAGGGCCACGGCAGGGAGGCAAGAGATATTTTCTTGGCCTCTATCTGCAGGTTCTTAGCCTCCTGATCTATTTGATGCCGCTAATTTAGTGAGGAATTAGTAATCCAGATATGCCTGGGTTGCACGAAAGCAGGAATCGCTTTATAATATACACCCTTATCCATAAATAAACCTATGACGTTTCTTAGGGAAGTGTCGTGGGTGTAAAGAGTGTAATGCATTATAACGCAAAATCAAAGACACCTCTTGACAAATCCTTCTTATGTAGATTATCACCTTAAGGATTACCACGTGAGATTCAGTCTGTCCCTCCATCTTCTTGTTGCCACAAGTCTCCAAAGCGGTTGGTCCAGACCACTGGAATTCTGAATGGCCAGTCCAAGATACAGAAGGGATGGCAGCCAACCCGCATCCCTACGTGTCGTCTCGGTGATGATGATCCTCTTCAGCCGACATGTAAATATCAAAGCTATTATCATTGCCTGGCCATACTGTCCCGGCGTAGCGCAGTGGGTGGCTGCTGCATTGAAATATGCAAGGGCATATTCCAGTCACGGTAGGTGCTATCAGAGTGCCGGAATGATCAGTTAAGTGATTTATCCAAGCTTTCCTAAGTTACTAAGTCTTGAGAAAGAGAGCAACACGGCCAAACTTCTGGCTGACTTGCGCAGCCAAAATCAGCTCTTGCTCAAGGCGCTCGAGGGTAAACAGCAAGATGCTAGATTGTTGACTTATTCACTAGTCCTCTCTTTGATGTCACTTGGATCGTTCGCATCTCTCACTAAAAGGCGAAGAATTAGAGCATCTCTCTTCAGATGTCCACATCTCTGAACGTAATCCAGGCTCTGTTTGGCGAGTGTGCTAGGTGAATGTGCTGGGAGGTACATCTCAGTGTCACATAACATCGTTCAGAGGTAGGAAGAGGCAGTGACTACTCCTAGTTTACGCGCCCTAGATATACTTCGGCTCGAGCTCAGGCAATGCAATGTATTCCATCCAAATTATGCCTACAATTATTGCTGGCGTTGGACTAGGAGGCGACAGAGCTCCACAGCCGCTTTTTGCATCGTAAAACTGTGGCAACAAGCCATGGCCTAGCTGCAAACTCCCTGATTTCCTTAGCATTCCGATCTTGTCTGGCCATAAACAGTTGGGAAATGCACGTGCAATGTTTCAACGACATGAAGGGTTTGCAAGCCCTAAGTCCACTGTCCTCTTCCAGATGGTTATTCTGCTGCCTGCAGCCGTCCCTTTTCCTTTTCTCGCTATTCTATTGGCAGAATAGGTCCATGGATCCGTCATTTAAGCATATATATGCATTATTTCTAGACGGAGATGTCCGAAGCAGCTTCGATATCCTATTGAAGCTTCAATGGGTCGGCGTACGAATTGGGAGCAACTAAGATGCATAGGTCCTTCAAACATCTAGTCTACTCTAAGGCAATTATGGAAGTATACCAAACCGATTTCCTGACGCTTGAGCCACATATGCACTGCAGTAACATCGGAGCATGACTGCATTGGGATAGCACTATTCTGTTTAATCGGAAGCTGTATCGTTAAAAGTCAACGTGAGAAATGCTGCAGCCTACCGAGAGTACATGAACCTCTCGACATATAAAACTGAAAAGGCCCTCTTTCAAGGGGCGTGTCTTCTTGGTTACAGATAAAGCTGTGAAAGAGGACAAAAGCGAGCTCGTTCTTTCGAGATGAAGTGGTTTTTGTGGCTTGTCTCGCCAGCCGTTGCAGTTCATGCTTCATGTAAGCATATCAACCGGTCCTACTCTTGTGAAGACGTGATAGCTAACGATCTGCGGCTTGGTTATAGATGCAGGACAGCCTACTGAGCTCAATATTCGTGCACTACCTGATGCACCCCACGGATATGCCCCATCTGAAGTCGAATGTCCAACCCCCGTTCCCAGTGTACGCAGCGCCGCGAAGCTGTCGCCCAGCGAGCTAAACTGGCTCGGCCTCCGGCGACAGAAGACATTTAAGGCGATGAAAGACTTCTTCGGCCATATTCAAATCAAGGATTTCGACGCCGAGTCCTACCTTGATAAGATCTCCAGTAACGCCTCGCTCGTGCCTAGCATCGGCATCGCTATCTCCGGAGGAGGTTACCGTGCCCTGATGAATGGCGCTGGTGCCCTCAAGGCCTTTGACAGCCGGACCGAGAATGCGACTGCTAAGGGACAATTAGGCGGCTTATTGCAGTCAGCTACATACTTGGCCGGTCTCAGCGGTGGCGGGTGGCTGTTAGGTTCGGTTTACCTCAATAATTTCACTACCATTTCTTCGCTGCAGACAAATACTCTCGGAACCCCATGGCAGTTTGGTAACTCAATCATCAAGGGGCCCGATGATGGAGGGCCCCTTCTGACCTCTGCAGCCAGATACTATGAAGAGATTGTACACGCCGTGGCGGAGAAGAACGATGCTGGTTATCCAACCACCATCACTGACTTCTGGTAAGTGTCAGACCTCTTCAAGCCGGCACCATGTCAATCTTCATTCAACAAAGCTAATTGCTCTCTTTTGTCTTCTTTCTTCCGTAGGGGCCGGGCCTTGTCATACCAGCTCATCAACGCACCGGAAGGAGGCATCAACTACACTTGGAGCTCGATCGCAAAAACCGACAAGTTCCGACAGGCCGAGATGCCTCTTCCAGTTCTCGTGGCTGATGGGCGCAATCCCGGTGAGCACCTTGTGGGTGGCAATGCAACGGTCTACGAGTTCAATCCATGGGAATTCGGGACCTTCGATCCCACCATATTCGGCTTTGTCCCATTGGAGTATCTAGGAACTCGATTCGAGGATGGCATCCTGCCCCGTGGGGGAAAATGCTTCCGGGGATTCGACAATGCTGGCTATATCATGGGAACATCCTCGAGTCTCTTCAACCAGTTCTTGCTGAACATCAACTCGACGGACCTGGCGGATCCCATCAAGAAAGTCCTTTCTAATATCCTTAGCGAGGTCGATCAAGAGGCGAAAGACATTTCTAATTACACAAACCCCTTCTACCTCTACTCAAAGTCATCGTCCCCCTACGCCCAATCCCGATATCTTGCTGTCGTTGATGGAGGCGAGGACTTGCAAAATCTCCCCCTTCATCCGCTCATCCAACCCGAGCGCCACGTAGATGTCATCTTCGCCGTGGACTCATCCGCCGACACGAATAACTGGCCGGACGGAACGGCAATGGTGGCAACTTATGAGCGCAGCCTTAACGCCGAGATCAATAATGGCACAAGGTTTCCGTCTGTTCCCGACAGAAACACGTTTCTGAACCTGGGGCTCAACAATCGGCCGACCTTCTTTGGCTGCAATTCTTCCAACATCACTGGGACGCAGTCCGCTGCCCCACTGATTGTATACATCCCCAACTCTCCCTATATTGTGCATTCCAACGTCTCCACATTTGATATGAGCTACAATAATACCGTGAGAGACGCAATCATTCTGAACGGCTACAACGTCGCTACCATGGGTAACTCCACGCGCGATCCAGATTGGTCGGCCTGTGTTGGCTGCGCCGTGCTGAGCCGCTCGATGGAGCGCACACATACTACGGTGCCCACAGCCTGCAACCAGTGCTTCCAACGGTACTGTTGGAATGGAACGACGGACAGTCACACACCGGCTCCATATGAACCAGAGCTCTCGCTTGCAGAAGTGAGCCTGAGAAATGCCGGGGGTGTCCTGCGAGCGTCCCGTGGATTGTTCTTGCTGACTTTGCTGGCCTTGTTTTGACCCGGCTCGTTTCGCTGTGAGACTATCTGTGTATCATCTTCTTGATGCGAGCTGGTAACGTCCTCATATGTATACTTAATCCGCCTCCTGCTTCACCAAGCTCTCTTTGCAGAGTGTCAGTCTCTACAGTACGTTCCGTCATTCGCAATCGCGTTCAATTGCAGTTTAGAGGAGCGCCGATAATACAAAACTCTTAGATAGAAACGCAAAACCTTGCTAACCAGCTATTTGACATGATAGCAATCTTGACGTGCTTTCCAGTAACCCGAATCCGTTCCAGGCAATGACACGAAGGGCCGTCTTCGTCTGTTGGCGGCAAAGTAAGTATCTCGGGCTATCCGGTTGTCGCAGTTGAGAAGCCCAACTATTGCCGACATCGACGCTCTAGTGAGTAACGCGGATTGCAAAGAAGTGAACCTCCGTGGGACCATTGCCCTGGTTATAGTTGCCGGCCTTGAAGTAACTATCCGGGTTATCCAGGTCAAACGTGTCGAGTTTCTGGAAAGCCTGGCCATTGAGACTAACGGATAGAATACCGCTCTCGTACCGGATTTCGTAGGTGAATCTCTGGCCTACAGGAACGTGGCCGACAGTGAATGTTTTCTGGCTGCAAGTGCGGCATCGATTGACACCCATCGTCAGATCACCCTTGGAACTATAGTAAAGCTCGCACACGGGCTTCGTGGAGATGGAGCCATCAATGTGGATCTGGCCGACCACAACTCGGTCGTCCTGGATTTGTTTCACGATCAAGTCGCCAAACAGCCGGTTCTTCGAAGCAGAAGGACTCCACTTAGACGGGCTATTCTCACGAAGTTCTGTGCGGCAGTGTTGGCTGTTTGCGGTCGTGACACAGTTGGAGGTTGATGGAGAGCCTGGGACCTTCATTACAATGGAGCCATCATCAGGGCTGGTAAAGAAGTATTCGGACTTGTAACCATTGCAGCCCTTGAGCTCAGAAGCAGAGATCTCGTCTGGCGACCCAGGCTTGCCAATTGGAAGCTGTAGTTTCCACTTGGATAGATCAAAAGTACCGCCAGGAGCACAAGCTGAGCCTTGTGCCATGGCCATGGGTGAAAAGTGGACAAGGGCCAAGAGAGCGATTGGGATGAGGTTCTTAATCGCCATGATTTTAATTTTGAATTGCTGAAAGAAGACAAGCAGCGGGGATTGATCTCAGAGAATTATTAAACGAAGACGACTGGGGACTGTGGTGCTGGATGGGTTCCTCTGGGAGCCGGGTTATAGCGGCTTTAAATATTAATGCATAGGCTAAGGTATCTCTGTCCTCGAGACTCGCCCCAGCAGTTTCAGGGTCCTAATGTCGACAACTCCACATCATATGACACTACCTTAATTAAAGGAAGCTTTCCTGGCGTAGCACCATTCTGGAAGGGATCATCGTTCCTCAGCAACTCTGAAACCCGACAGGGGAGACATTTGACAGGTGGGACAACACCTCGCAGGCGGATTATCTCATTTACGTCAATTAAAGGTACGGATCTAATCACTTTATGATACCATTCGTAACCCAAATGATCTGCAATGTCCTCGCTCGCAAGATATATTTTCCACCAACTGAGACGATCTAAATCAACGAAGCTTCTGCCAGCTGCGCATAAGAATAATGTTGGCTCGAGGGTGCAGAGGTTCTTTGGACTAGCGGCAATTGAATCACTTAGCTAAGCCTAACGTTACATCTGGGTCGATTGGTCGTATCAGTAGGTATCATAGCTCCTGCGCCATGTCTGACCCGTGCTATGGCTCCCTGTCCACCAAGTGTTTTGCAGAGGACTTACCCTTTCGGGTCGGCACTTCTCCCCCGCTTCCCCGGTTTCTCCGAATATGCCGGCAGCTACAGTAGCCTCTAATAATAGCTCTAAGCAACGATGCAGATCTGACACCTCAATTGCCATTTCCCTGTCCTCCTCTTCCTTGACCGAGGATGAGCGCAACAGCCTTCGAGTCGTCTACCCCACGCTTATGTCTAGTTGTAGGTTCTTTGCCGTAATTCAAGTAGTGGGAAAATGTATCGTTTCCATCGTCAGTCAGTCTATCCTCTTCCACCAACCATATGCATCTACACTACGAGCTGGAAGATATGTTGAGCTATATCTGTAGAGCTCTAGACGCAAGATTGGCTGGAGCTTCACCAGAAAGACCCAGGGAATGAAGCTCGACCCCTCCGTCCTTCAGATTCACCTATCGACTCGTCTACTCCTTGCCATCCTTTAAGATGAAGCTATTTCAGATCTCCTGTCTCAGCTTCTTCATATCACTCTCTAGCTCCCTCAGTCTTCCCAATGGCTACGGCCGTCATGACATCATCCCAAAGACCGTTGTGATTGACGGCGCCCGCCTTGTTGAGAATAAGCTGCGCCTCCGAGCTGGCGACTCGTCGCTCACAGCCGCTCTTGGCCATCTCACTGCTGAAGCTGATAGCTGGCTAAGCCAAGGCCCGTGGACCGTGGCCTCCAAGACGCAGCCACCACCAAACGGCACAATCCACGACTACGCATCCCAAGCACCGTACTGGTGGCCCAGCAATACCACTGATGGCTGTCCCTATGTAAACCTGGATGGCGAGCGCAACCCCGAAGTCGACAAATACACCGACCACAGTGGACGTGATTCGATGTTTAGATCCAGCTACATACTATCCCTCGCGTGGTACTACACCGGCCAGGCCAAATACGCTAAGCATGCCTCGCTTATCTTGCAGACCTGGTTCATCGACCGCGCTACGGCCATGACGCCTAATCTGCGCCACGCGCAGATCATCCCTTGCCGCGATGATGGCCGCTCGATCGGCATTATCGACTTCAGCATGGAATACACCAACGTTGTGGATGCCGCTGCCATCCTTGCCTCGACCCATGCCCCAGGCTGGACAATAGCAAATCAACGAGCGTTCATGAACTGGAACTGTCAGTTTCTAGACTGGCTAGTCAACTCGCCCTTCGGCAAGGAAGAGGCAAGCCAAGAGAATAACCACGGCACTTTCGCTAACATGCAGATTGCGGCTCTCGCTCTCTTCACCGGGAACACGTCGCTCTCGGAAAAGACCTCCCAGGGGGCAAAGTCTCTCATCAATGTCCAGATCCGGCCTAATGGCTCCCAACCGATGGAACTCGCGAGGACGCGCAGCTGGCACTACTCCAATTTCAACCTTGGAGCGCACCTGCGCTTTGCGCTTGTCGCCAAGAAAGTTGGCGTAGACCTGTTCGGTTATAAGGGGCCGGATGGACAGAGTCTTTTTGGAGCGACGAATTCCCTGTTTAAGGCAGCTGTGGAAGGGAAGAGCGCATGGGAATTCGAGGAGCTGGAGTTTAAGCCGTACGCGGCAACCGATAATGTACACGCAGCAGCTGATGCAGGAGACAGTAAAGCCAAGGCGGTTGTGCCTCAGCTTCCGCCGCCGCCGACTGGGGATATTTACGTGCTCAGACCGGCTGCCGAGCAGTTGGATAATATTGCTGACTAGAGCACCATGAGAATTGGAACAGGCATCTAGTGATTTTGGTTGGATTCGAGAAGCACCTTGGAAAAACGAATTTGTGGGACCTTCATGTTACTTGAGAGATATTAGCTAGCGAGTTCATGGCTGTCAGGGCTGTAATACAGCCGCGTTAGTAAATTGAACTGGTCCAAAGGCATTCCCCTCAAGATCCGTCATTTTAAGCATTGGGTGGTGGAAAGGGGCACACTATACTAACCAGATACAATATGTCCCCTTGCAGCCCCTGCGGGCCAAGCCTCTTCTAGCTCCCGCTTGGGTGGTCTGATCAGGCAGTGTTGGACATCCGAGCCGAAGACTCGGGCTCCGCGGACTGCGGTTGAGATGGAGGTCCAAGTTTATCAAACCAGTTCTGTTATTTAAAGGATCCGCCAATGTTGGCTTGATGATAGTTGCAGAGACGATTGGAGTACGTGCAGTTTACCCCAGTCATTTTACAACACTGCTGAACTTGCTTGAGACAATGTACGACTCGAATACGACAAAAATGATACCCCATAATTATTACCCACCTACTCTTCATCTGCCGCATTATGCAGCCAACGAAACTTCAGTCCTGTCATTGATTGCTCAATTTGGCGTCCTCTGGGCCGCTGTACTTGGGATAGCCTTTATTGTAATTCAGCGAGTGCGACCTACCGCCAGTCGGTCGGACCAACTGTCTTTTATATGGATGTGCTTAAGTAAGTTATCCTAATCGAATAGATATTGACTCGGCACTGACGAACATGGAAATAAACAGCGGGATTCATTCATCTGTTCTTTGAAGCATACTTTGTGGTTCACCATGAATCCCTCGCCGGCTCCCAGGAGTTATTCGGCCAGCTATGGAAGGAATATTCCCTCTCTGACTCGCGTTACTTGACCTCAGACGCCTTCCTTGTCCCGATGGAGGCAGTCACGGCGGTATGTTCTGAGATTACCGAAGTCAACCAGCTCATGACTAATTTGCCCATAGTTCTGCTGGGGACCGCTGGCGTTCTTCATCGCATACTGCATCGCGGTCAATCACCCCGTCCGTCATGCCCTCCAGCTCCTTATATCAGTGGGGCAGGTCTACGGAGATGTCCTTTACTACACCACGAGCTTGTTCGACCTCTATTTCCATGGAGGGTCGTTCTGTCGGCCGGAGGGCTATTACTTCTGGTTCTACTACTTTTTCATGAACTTTATTTGGCTTGCGATTGGCTCCTGTTCGTCAACCCTGGACTTTATCCCTGTAGTATCTTGTCGGTTACTGATGTTTCACAGATCATGTGTACCAAAGTGTCGTGGAGATCACTCATGCTTTTCGAAGACTTGGAGAGCTTGATCAGAGACGAAAGGGGAAATGAATGCATCTAAATGAGCATTGGGCTTGTAAAGCAAGCATCCTGATTGAGCATAAACCTTAAACTGTTAGTCAGTGGTGAGTATCAGTTATTGAATAGCTATTCGCAGAAACGCAAAGTTGCAGAATATTTCCCAGGCCAGATATAAGGTTGTCGCTTTCGGGAGCTCTGGATTCGCATTAGGCGAAGGTAGCCATGGATCGGTATGAAATGGCAGCATAATCCGCACGGAGTATACACACGTATACACATATACACTCAACATTTTGAGTCTAAGGGCTAAGAGCTACCTATAAGGGCTAAGCTCTCCGGTTCATTCTGACTATAGGTGTGGGTATAAGCCTATGCCATGACCAACAATCCTGTTCTTTATCAGGCCTTTAAATCAAGTACTTGAATTGACGTCAGCACTAGCTACCTTCTGCTAATGTAGGAAAGCCTCCAGTTATCTTCGAGAGGTTAATGCTTCGTCAGCTCCGCAGATTTTGAAATAAACCATTTTGTTTAACTTCTGGATAAGTGAAAACAAAAAAATAGAGGCATTATCTGAAATAGGATAGATCCCTCTCCCGGGCACTAAGAAGTAATTATTCAATCATGTTTCCATAACTAACAATGATACATAATTCTGGATACTCAACTAGACAGTAACATTGAAAGGAATTCCTTTTCCACAAAGTGAAACATTATGAAGCCAAACTTCCAAGTTGTTTTGCTTCTCTTTTGGCAAGTGCTACTTCCCTAACCTTTATAACAAAGCAACCAGGAGTCTTTTGCACTGTAGCTAGGTGTTTATCTAGTGCAGACAAGGTCTCCGTTGGACTTTTAACATAGTTAGCATCGTCAATGCAAAACCACACATACAAGGGAATTGTCTTACCTGGAGAGGAAGATTATTGGCGCAGCAGACCTGGCTTTTCTGGGGTGGACAGCCATTTGAAGTAGTAGGGGTGGCTGAATGGGTCAGTAATGTTTCATTTGAAGGTTATGTAGTTCAACATACCCTCGCAGCCATTTCCGGCTCCTGTAACAAATAAGAAATTGAATGGGACAAAACTAGTACAGCAGAATCTGTGCTGGCCTGAAGGACAGGCCCTTTTTTCTAAGGCTTCGGGTTCTGGAGCTGCAGTGGCCAAGCTGGCCATGGCAAAGACTGCAAGGATAGATTTGATTTGCATTTTCGTCTTCTCAGTGCGATCAATACGACAATTGAACCTTCGATGAAAATTCTTCAAAGTCTTACCTCCGCGCAATTCGAATGTCCTATTGCCTGCTTAAGT